TATAATAAAAAAATCGGGGTATTTTTATTAATAATTTACTGAGTAAATAATATACTAACCAGTTGTAAATTTCCTCCTGACAAAAATCATGTGAGAGAGTTGAGCCAGGGTATTATCAAAATAATTTAATAATAAAAAATTAGTTTAAGTAATTATGTATTTTTTATATACGTAATCAGTTAATTGTATGTAAAAATATAGTTTGTATATAATTATAAATATATAATTTATAATATAATTTATATTTAAGGGATTAATAATGAAGTAGATATTGTGACGAATCGTGATATTCTGTGATCCAACGATTTGAATTCAATTTATCTCGTTAAGAATCATTACAATAATTGGATCATGAGATATAATGATATCTATGTCATCACCACAATACCCCTTATTATTTCGTCTTAATAAGATAAATCAATACCTTATGTCATAAGAAAATAAAGTTATCTTATGACCTAGTAACTGAATTTGATATCATTCGATTCGTGGTACCTTACTTCATTCTAATTGATATATAATAAGTTATTAGCTATAATGCTTAAATTTTATATTTTGTATTTTATATACAAACTATATATATTTTTACAAGATGTATTAACAATTTAATTGTATTATATGTGTTGTAATGCAATTAAATTATACAAAAAAGGTTTGTCTAAAATCAGATACGTATACAAAATCTATAAAAGTCAAAATTCTACATAAAAGTATATTTAAATATTTATAAAATTCAAATCGTAAAATCATTTAATATCCTCTAAACTAGTACAATTTTTTAATACAACAAACCCCTTTTCTATTTTTAAAAATTATTTACAGTAATTGATTTTTATATCCTGATACATACTGTAAAAAAAAAAGAGAATTTTGTCACCTTAGATAACGCATTTAAAAAAAACCACGTAAATATACGTAATTAGTACGTAACGTATACAGTTAAATGCATGTTTCCTAAATGCACGTTCTAAGAAGAACCTTTGTCTTTTTGGCTCAACTAATACACATAACATTTATAGTTTTTATCTTCCTAAATGCAATATCTCTGAATGCACGATTGAAAACTTGTTCATATAGTCTTCTTTATAGTGCATTTAGAGCAGTTTGGCTGTACTTAATGGTCTATGTAAGAATATTAAGAATGTTGCAACTTAAATTTTGTTTTTATGAAAAAAAGGAAGTCTAAATATAGATTAAAACCAATCCGTATTATTCTATATTTATTTTGTCGCTTGGCGATTTATAATCACTAATCAATAAAGTCTTTATTAATGATCATCACTACGTTGTTACTTGCATCATTTTTGCAATTAGATAATATTGAATACCACAATATGTTATGTTCTCTTTCTTATTGTTCGATGTTCAACCAATTAGAATCGCCCATAAAATAAGTAATAGTTATTGCATCAAATAACGGTTTACATTTAGTGTTAATGGTTTAAGGCAAAAAAAAAAAAAGTTTACACGTGACCTAAAATTTAAATTTTTTTGATAAATAAAGGATATTAGGGTAATGCAACCGATATCTTCTTTTGTTGAGACTTCATCGCTGATAATTTTTCGTCAGAGTCATTGAGTTTTAGATACGCTTGTTAGTGATGAGAGAATTGGGTTTATATAACCTAGAGGGTGTCGTGAACAAAATAGGTCTCGTGAGTCCTTATTATTTCACTTTACTAAATCATTATTTTTTTCTTGTAGAATGCGATCTAAACATTATATATTTTGCATAGTCGATTAAGCCGAATTTTTAAAGAATCGTTAATTTGGTTGGCTGACTTGACTAAGTCGACCAGTGCAATATCAAATCGAAACATTACATTACAGAATATAAATTTTACAAAAATATCAACGAGAATTCTTCTCGATCTTTTTAAAAGTGAATGGTTTAATACCCGCCATCACTATAGCGTAACGGTATGGTCATCGACGGCTACGTCTACGGGTATCGTATCATCGCATTCTGTATCAGCTTCACTTTTACTTCACTTTTAAGTAAGAACATTAAATAATGACCAATGTCTTTTTTATTTTGGAAACATTATGCCATGATGCCCATGATGCCCATGATGCTTATCTTTTTTTCTTTTTCGGGAACATTATACAACGTTGTTCTATATTTTTTTTTATTTACGATTTTTTTTAACAACATAAAATACGAGCGCGACCAACAGGAGTTCTCGTATTATAGATAGATCTGATTGTTTGAGATAATAACCGACTAGGTCTACTTAACGTATCAAAATCATTGACTCGGCTAAACTTTTTAATCGATTACAATCATTAATATTATGAACTACTCACCAATTTTCAAAAACAATTGTTAAATGGTAAGAATGAGACAAAATAATAAGGAATCAACACAGATTTTAACTATACCTCATAGCCTTAGCCTCCTCGTATTCAAGTCTACGCTTTCTATTAGTCAATAACACTTGCTTACGCTTTTGAATTAATTCCATTTGTCTTTGGTCTGCATTATATATATATGCTCCGACCCCTCCGAAGAATGCTGCTGTAAATACATGTGTTATTGGGTCTACATAGAAAATAAATGAATTGGAGTAGATATATCCGAGGATAACATGTGAGGATCTTTACCAGGAAATTCTGCTTGATCATATTATTCTTATTTCTATTAATATAGAAATGAAATTTGATCACATACTGTCAAAAACGGGCCTTCTTTCAAGGGCCAACGCGTAAGCTCTAACGGCAACTCCAAAAGCGGTAAAGCCAGCAACTGTTGTTACAAGTGTCATGATAAATACTAAAAAGATTTTCTAATATTAAATATTAATTGATGTACAAGAAGAATTAATGAATGGAAACAGAAGCTTTAAGTTTCTAATCCATATTAATAAGATTCAAAATTGAATTCTTAAAAAAAAAAAAAAATGTATATAAGATTATATATCATCCAAAGATACCGTTTAGCACTACTTATAATATCTTCCATGATTAAAGCTCGGGAATTATTCTCCATATCAGCCTAATTCTTGAATAATACCGGGAATATAGCTATATTAGTTTATTATTTTTCATATAAATTGTATCCTGGTTCTACAAAGACCCCGGAATACTAATCAATTTAAAATTGAATGTGAATAGACCCCGATACTATCTCTTACACAGTTCCACTTTCATAATGTAGCTTAACATGAACTGTGATATAAATATAGTTAATAGCTCTATCATAGGTCAATCATGAACAATCACAGAAAGAATTGCCTGCAAAACGGTGCTAAACGATATCTAATATCAAATTATCAAATTATGAGTTAATATATATATATAACTTACCTATTCAAAGGACCGAGTGGACCGAGTGAGAAGAAATTGATAAAAAATCTGCATATTTTATTTTTTATGTATGATCGTCATCCGGATCGCCCCGAGTTACACGTGCCACTGATGGACTTTTAGATAACGTTAATAACGATAATAAAATTCTCAATTTTGTACGCGACGCGATTTTACAAAACTTTAAAAATGGATAAAATACCAATGTTGGATACTTTTACTGCTGAGGATATTAAATTTTTAGCTGAATATGAATTAATAACGATTGAACCATTTTTTAAGGCGAATACATTTTCCCTTTCAGGAGTAAATATGGATTTTTTTTTTCATATACATTTATTATTTTTATCGGTTTAAATTTAATAATAATTTGTGTGGTTTGATTAAAAGATTGAGTATGGACCCTTTGATCCTCCAAAAAGGAACAATATACCTATTTGGGTAGCTTTAACATTAAAATCTCAAAGACTATGTAAAATCATCTCTCCTTCATGGCTCACCGTTGGTAGGCTTCTCTATATTGATTTGTCAAATATTCTTCCAATTTCTTAATCATCAATAATATAAGCTAATTTATATTAATATTTACATTAACATTTACATTAAAATGCAGAAAACCTTACCATTCTGCTAGATTCAGAAACAAAGGAAACAAAATTTAGCGCGGTCCCGTTTTATTATGCTGAAATTTCAAGAATGTTATTGCAATCGTATGTAATAATTTATGTTACTATATCAATTTTATACTGTATAATTAATCATTTAATTGTTTTTACTCATTCGAAACTAAAGTGCCGAAGACGATTTAAAATCCCCCGGTGAACTTCGTATGTTATTACAACAACTTAAAGAGAAAAGAGAAAATAAAATTAGAATAGGTTTGGCTAATCTAGAACCTATTCCACACAAAGTAATTTATATATTGTAATTTATATGTTGTTATTCTTATATATAAACTTAAACTGATTTTTTTCTTAAACGGATTTTAATTTTTAAAGATAAATAATATTAGCGCCCGCGAAATCCACATTATGCGTCCCACATTTTCCATGTTATTTGATTCTTTACATAGGATACAAGAAACTACTATTAAACGTCCATCCGGGCAAAATCTTAGTGAAACAACTAGAAGAACTGCTGATAGAATTAGCAGTCAAGCCTTGGATTTGATGGATATTGAGGGTGAAATTGCTGATTATGGTGATTTGGGCGATTTTATGATATATGATTAGATTTATATCATTGGGTTTTACGTTAGGTTAGGATGGTTAGTATTGCGTTTTATTAACATGCTAAGCATGTTATTAGTGATATACATGTTCTTTTTTTTTTTACTAACAATGATGCAAAGTAAAATTGGCTTTAATCAAAAAATTTTTTTATTTGTTAAATTTACTAATATAATAATGAATGATTTTACTATAGTAACTAATAATTTTAATATTTTTGAATAAAATTACAAATAAGCAACATAATTATTTTTCTGATAATTTATTATTATCAACTTAATACAATCATTGATCCGTTATTATATACTACATAGGTAAGAATTAATGTATGCGTATAATTTGTATGTGTAATATGAAGGTTTGGTTAAATATAGAAGCTAAAATGGTTATTCTACATAAACTTTTTTATATCTCAAAAAGTCAATTTAACGATCACCTACAGTAGTAAATTCAAAAAAAACCAAAATATTTAAGAATGAAAAATTAAGCACTGAAGATAACAAATTCGAATTAGAAACTTTAAGGAAATTTTTGTAAAATTTTCATAAAGTTATACTTTAAAGCTTATTAAAATAAAAAAAAAATTAATTTAATTAGTAATTTATAAGAGCTAAAGAACTACTATAGTAATACTATATATATATATAGACAGTGTTGGCATTGGACATAATTTTTGAAAAGATTGGACATATAATTTTAGGGCTTTATAATTTATCGCTATAGCCTATGTCAAATCAAACCCGAAAATCAAAATTCCGAAAATCAAAATCCCGAAATTTAATTGTCGCATCATATAAGTGTTGCTAAAAGAAAACCCGAAAATTTAAATATGACATATATTTAAATTTTCGGGTTTTCTTTTAACGACACTCATATGATGTCAGGATTTCAATCATATTAAACCTTATAGAAAGCCGATATGCGTTTATGATGTAATTGCTTTGATAGTCTCAATACGCTACCGGAAAATATATTTATATCGACTAAAAAATTTTTTCCCATATATTCTAAAATAGAGTTTCGGCATGTTTTTTTAACAGTTTTTCTCATGGTGAATAATTTGAGTAATTTTTACACGTTTTATTATACCGAAAAGGGCATTTCGGTTTGATACATAAAACACAAAATGTTTATTCATGAAATACTTTTAAAAAGATGTGTTTACGTCGTTCGAAAAAAAAGTTGTTAATGTTCTCATTAAACATACCACATCAATGAAAGGTAAAATGCTTGAATGGGATGTTATTATCGAACTAAAAGCGATCGGCTTCAAAAAAGTTGATCACTTTTCAGGAGATGGCCTAGAATTCATGTACACGGGGTGAGTTTTCTCATTGATGATTTGTTTGAGTCATAGTGTATCTGAAGTTACGCTGCCACATCCGTGAAATGAAATCTGGTAGAGAATTGAAGCTCTTTGTGGCCAACTATTTTGATAGTTGAACGTTCTTCTCTATCAGTTATGGATGTTTCTGAAGGACTTGTTCCTTTCTGCGTTAAAAAGGACCTTTCTGGTATCAGAAAGCACGAAGGCTAGGAAGTTGGTGAATAGGAATACACTCTGGCATCAAGAACGCAACCGTTGACTATTTCGGCCGTGCATCTTTGCTGGTTGATGATGATAATGCAAATATTCATATTTTACTATTTCATTCTTTAGCGGAAAGAACGATAAGGGCAGAGACATATTGTGTCAAGTCGCCGATGTGATATTTGTAATCCAGTGCAAGAACTGGACAGGAACAAACTGGAGAAGTAAATTATTTTATATAAATCATCACTTTTGAAATAACTTAAGATAAAGAATCGCTCAATATTTTTTAGATCGCGAGATCACCTATACCCATTGTGAGGTGACTCGCAGATGCGCCAAACAGTACAAAGGTTGTATTATAGTGGCATCTTTAATGGATGCATTCACACCTGGCACCATTGGAGCGACAAAAAGCTAATGATCCTCTTTTTGACTAAAAACTAATTACATTTTTATATCCTTCAAGCGATCATACTGTACATAGTCAAAATAGGGCTTTTACCCACTTTCAACTGCTATAAACTTTTGTATTTCAAATATTAAATATTAATAAAGCTGGCCTTGGTGGTAATTTTGCATACATAATCGTGTACTTTTGTGTGTATATTTCACAAGTGTGTATTTTGATGTTATATATGATATATTGATATCAATGTTTATATTATACTGAGAAGTTTTTTGATAGAATGTGAAGTTTTTGTGGCATCTGCATCCCGAAGAACTGAACAGAGTACACATGTAATTTTTTGATTTTGAATATATCTGTATCTTAAATAAAACAATGGCAAACACATGATCTAAAAATGATTTGCTGAATTATAAACTTGTAACTGAGGTTGATAAACTTAGAAAACGCAGAAATACCTGAGCGTGAAAAGAAATATGCCGCAATTGAAGCTAAGAATATTAAGATTAGAGCTGATTATGAGATTGAGATTGCAGTGCTTAAGGATGAGAATACGAAATTGAAACACATGATCGAGGAAAACGCCAGGTGTGATGTTAGATTTGAGAAACTTGAGAACAGAGTTGCGGTAATGGAACAAGGTTTCTTGGCAGTGGGCGAATATTATAGAAGTAATACCAGAAGTATCCACTATTGATTTACTAACTATGCAAAAAAGCCAGCTCAATAATACCAACACCAAGTCGTCTGAGGAAAAGAAGGTGGATATTTTCTTGAACGAGGCACAAAAGAAAAGCATTAGTGATGGAATAAGACGACACAATAAGGAGAGGAAACTATGTTACGGGTCAAATTGGTTTTTAGAACAAGTTAAACTTGACCTGGGTCAAATTGATCAACTAAAAAAACCCGGCCGGCATCAATATAATCCTGGCCTGCTCTAACCCTAAAATTCTGCTAGAGGGGTAAAATCGCCACCAAAAAGTTTCGAACATCACGTGACAAATATATCGAGCACCAAAAATTCATGTAACTTGAACAAAAAACACAAACAAAAAACATTTAGACTAACAAAATAATTCACGATAAGCAATAAAATTAATTTTTATTTATTTATTCAACAAACGTAATATTTATTACAACAGAAAGTATTATGATTACGGTTTTCTAAGTATTTGGACTATTCCATTGCCTTTTAAAATGATTATAATCCTCCTCCAATTTATGCATTAACTCAAAGTTTTTATTAATACTATCGAACCATTTGTTACTATTTGGATTCATTTTGTTTTTTTCAATAATTTTTTTTTGTTGCGTTCTAGATTCAGAATTATAAAAACTTTTTGCTAAATAAATAATCAGTTATAGTCTTCGGAAGATCATTAAAAAATAAAATCTACAAGGTTTTCTGCAATTCGATTTTTTTTTTTTCGTTTATTATTAGTGGAAATTTGGTTACGGCAATCAATGTTTTATTGTGGTTATTGAATTTTATGCTTTTAAAAGAATCACTTGGTTTGTCGAGATTGCAACGATCACTTTTCATTTTGAAGAATCGAAGAAAATAAATCACTATATCAATTATGATCCTAATCATGATGAATGGTGGCGATTTTACCTCGGTCGATTTTCGACATTACTGTAATTCCGAAACACAGAATTCAAAAACTTATCGAATTCGGCCGAATTATCATCGGTCAATTTTTATCGTTGTTCCAGGATTTATGAGAACAGCTGTAATTTATAATTTATTTTACGCTCCGGACTTACATCGGTTCTCGATTCCTAGTAATAATCGATCTTGTATTATGATAATTACTCTTAAAGATGCTTTTTCACGAAATTTTTTTACGCGATTTAGTCATGTTACACTAAAATACAAATATGTTTATTTAGACGTGATTGTTGAACACATCACGTTATCATGTGAGCGTGATCGTTGTTTTTTTGTTACATTATAGGACGCGATTGTTGAACACATCACGTTATCATGTGAGCTTGCACATGTTTTTTGGGACGTGATTGTTGATTGTTTTGAAAGCATCATCATGTGATTAATCAATTAAATTTTTTATATAAGAGAAAATTTTTTTTCTTTTTAACATTAGCTTTCTTGAATTATTCTGCTTGAGGACTACTGTTCTAAAGAAGGGACAGTTATGTATTTTCCTTAAAGCAGTCAAAAAAGCTAAGCGGCGAGCGTCGTGCGTTGAAACACCCATCTAAAGTTGGAACACCTATCTAAAGTCGGAACACCTACCTAGAGTTGAAACACCCTTATAGAGTCGGAACACCCTCTTATTTTTTATATTTATTTTTTTTTTCTTTATTAATTTGTTAAAAGGACGTAACTTGGATATGGTTGGTTACGACACTTATGTGCGAGGTAGGGGCACATAAAAATACTAACATAAGATAATTTTCTTTTATTTAGTATTAAACTATTGTTTGTTTTTCTATATTTTAAACACCAACCAATTTATTTGAAGCCGATAAACGGACCCATATTAAACATCTAAATCGGTAAATAAAAGCAAGAAAAGAAAACATAAAAAGCAAGACGAAGAAAGTAATATTGGAATGGATTGTTTTATCGTAGGAGTCGTCGTTATTATTGAGTTGTTGGATTCGTTACTAGAGTTTAGTAAGTTTATTGTTTTAGATGTTACGTTGCATTTTTTTTCATGGTTTTCTGTATTCACTAATAATTCTTTACTTCTAGGTGTGATTTCGTCGTTGGAATTGTCGCTATTGAAGTTTTAAGTTTTTTTGTTGTTTTTTTTTTCTGTTACTAACTGTCTATTCAAGTGCTATTTCGTCGTTGGAGTTATCGATATTAGATCTTTCTGGTGCTATTACGTTGTTTACGCTTTCGTTGTAATTACGATGTTTGTTTTTTTGTTGAAACTCATTATTTAGTACACTTGTATTTTCTTTTGAACGATAATACGATTTTATCGTTCGTTACAGTTGCGTTTATTTATTTATTTATATTTCGTAGTTTGTTACGCTTTTATTATTATTACAGTATTATTTTTTTAATAAAATCTTAAAATTTTTTTT